CGAGGAGCAAACCAAGCAGGAGGAGCTGGCGATGGCTCCTGGAGGCTGCGTTCTGGTGGGATCCGGGGCCCACAAGGACCTTTACGGCAAAGTAAAACTTCACATGGACACAGAAAATTATCAATAGCAGCATAAATACAGACAGATCACAATAAACCAGACTAAGAAAAACAACACAAAATTATGAAGTGCATGAACAGAATTGTCCATTGAAATAAAAAATTTTAAAAACTGCACAGATTGCAGTTTTCTGAGAAATCCTGACCTGCTGGCCTTTGTTGCTTGAAATCGTGAGAAATTAAGAAAGTCGCCAAGTTGGCAGCAGTGACGATTGTTAAAAGCAAATATGCAGATGTGAGCTGGTTTGCCAGTCTGTCAGTAGAATGTCTCTAACAGGAGAGCAGAAGAAGACAGCGGCTGATTTCTTTGCTGAGCTAGAAAAGATCAGCTTCACATTTAAGTATCGGCTGATCTCCCAAATTTAAGGAAATCGGCGTCAATAAATCCTAAACGTATCTCTGAACGTAACTAATTCACATAAAAAAAAGTCTGATGAGTTTTTGTTTCTGTGTGGCAGATTGAAGGCATAGACGCAGACAACGCTCGAGTCGTGGTAAAGCTCGCCATCGGTGGGAAGACGGTGACACTCAGCCAGTACAGAGTTAAACTTGTTGGGAGGAAAGAATACGAGAAAAACAGCAAAGACCTCAGTGAGTGTTTGATGTCAAATTTATTTATGTTTTAAAAACAGGTCCAGAACTGCACCAAAGAGCTACTAAAACAATAAGACAATAGAATAAAATGATGAAAAGAGAAGAGAAATAGTAATAATAATACCAAAAAATAAGAGCAATAATAATAAGTGGGGGGTTTTTATTATTTTTAAAAAAAAAACTTTAAAATATCACAATATGCATCAGAATAATAAAACAAAACTGTTTTCAGGAAATGAAATGTAAAAAAAGTCAATCATATAACGGCTTATGGCTCATAATTTTACGAGACGGTTAACATAATTTTTAATTCTCCTCAATTAAAAACACAAAATTGTTATTATTTTCTCTTTTTTCTGTGCAGGAATAAATAAATCATGATATTTTACATAATGTTTATACTTTTATGATTTATTTTAATTTTTTAAAGTCTGTAAAATGTTTTAATTTATTCCCAGCAACAAAAATAAGAATTTCTTTTACAACTTTTACTTTTAAGAAACGTAGATAATAAGAGTTAAACATTTAATTTCCCCTTGGGATCAATGAAGTCTTTTTGAATTGAATTGTTAGGCTTGTTCTTTAATCGCAGCAGCAATAAATTTATCCTGTAGAGCGATGTTATGCTAATTTATTGAGAACTAACGGTTCTGTCCCACCCAACTCACAGGCCGGCTCAGTAAGGCCCACAAAGACAAGGAGAAGGAGAAGGAGCGACAGAGACTTGAGGAGAAAGAAAAGAGCAGCAGTACTAACAAAGATAAACACAAGTCATCTGAAAGGGAGGAAGGGAAAGATGAGAGGAAGAGGAAACACAGAGAATCAAGTCAAGACAGGTAAGTTTTCACTCTAAATTGTCTCATTCAGTTTCCTTAAAAGGAGACCGATTACGATTCCTTGAACAGGCCAGCATGTTACAAGACATATTCATTAAATTTTTTGCATAAAATCGTCCTTAGATGATGAGATTTTAGTCATTTACACTCCCATCTTTGAGAAGCATTAGTAGAGCCTCCTGCACGACCAACAGCAATGCAGCAAATAGCTTCTTTGTGGTGAGTCAACAACAAAACACTTGCCTTTTCCAGGAACCATTGTACAGCGTATGAAGCGGTAAAACCAGCTGACCAAACATGCTGTAGCTTGACTCGGGTTGCTAGGTAACAGGCAGAATTCCGCCGGGGTTGCTAGGTAACGGGCAGAGTTCCGCCGGGGTTGCTTGGTAACTGCGGAACTGCTGAGGTCACCTGCTGATCTGGAGGTTTTTGAAACGTCTGATTTTCCAGAGCCCAAAAAATATCAACTTACTGCCAAAAATGTCTGTCGGAGTTTTTAAGGACTGTTTTTAAAAGCTTTTGAGACCCAAAACCAAACACAAAAACACGTCAGATGTGAATTCTGCTCAATAGGTCACCGTTAAATCCTTGATTTGCTGATTTTTGTTCCTGTGCAGAGATAAGCCGCCAGTGAAAGAAGCGCGGCAGGCTTCAGCTCCTCCCTCCTGGCTCCAGCGGGACCTGAAAGTCCGCTTCATAGACAAGGCGTTTAAAGGCGGCCGCTACTACAACTCAAAGGTAGCGAAGCCTCGCCTGCTTTTGTGTTTCACTCAAACGCAGCTCAGTGCTGTGAAGTTGAAGCTGAGAACATGATTATTGACTCTTTGTCTCTGGCTTCCCACTCAAGGTTGTCTTTGCTGCTCACAGCAGCAGCTTTGCTAACAAATCCAGAAGTAATCAGCATTATTTCCACAGACTTTGAAGAGAATCAATATTTTATACCACTAGATATGGTCTTACTTCTTCTATTATAAAATAACCTTCAATCAGAAGTTTAACTATATTTAAACAAAAAAAATTAACATTAACTTTTTACAATTTGGATTTTGTGTGAAGATTTAAGCAAAAATGTAGCATAAATAGCCATTTAATTTAGCTTCAAGTCAACAGAAGATTATACATTCTGCATTTTGTCATTATGTTCTTTATAGTGTTAGTAAAGCTACAGTATCTGCTGAGGTAACCAGCATGCAGAATGCTGCTCAACAGTCATGATTCTTATGGTTTAATATATATTTTTAAAAAACTGTCACACTGATAATGACATTGAGTTTTTGCACCATTAGGCAATCGGAAATATTTCCCAACTGTTGATCTTTTAAACTAAAACCTTAATCCCAGTGAATTCAGGATTGTTTTTCAACTCGGTCTCACTTCCCTTCAGATGCGAGTGGAGGACGTCCTGACGCCGTTTACCTGCGTGTGTCGAACTGAAGAGGGAAGACTGCTAGACGGTGAGTCAGCTGTGAAATCTCGCTCATTTTGTGTAAGTTTGTACTCGGGCGTTTCCTGTGGGCAAAATGTGTTTATTTGTTCATGCAGCATCAAAATAAAGTTGCTATTACTCAGCCGATTTAGTTTAATTCATTACGGATGTCTTATGGTTAAAACAGCCTCAGTCTCCAGTTAGACCTCAGGATGAACCATGTTTACCTTTTAGGAAGTTTTAAAATTGTTAGTAGTGTTCGAAAATGTAAAAGCTACATATTTGGTTTCCAAGTGTAACGTGACAAATTTTACATGTATAAACACTCCCAGTTAAAACCTCGCGTCCATTTTCTGTTTCATGTTGTCAGTAATTCATAGAATAAAAAAACAATTTTACTCTTACATTTATCTATAAAAAGTAAAATAAGAGAATCTGATCATTTTAAGTGGTGTCTTAATTTTTTCCTCAGCTGTATTTGAAAAAACTGTTCTCCTCCTCACCTGGGGGGGCGCTGCACCACGAATCCCTTCAGGAAATGATACAAAAACCTCTGAAGAAAATATGAGAGCAACTTTATTTCTCACAAAATGTAAACAAAACATTTTGTGATCAGATTTTAGCGGTTGTGGGATTCACACCAACCTTGTTGGTCCGCTCTAATCAAACTCTAGTTTGTTTATGTTGAAAGTCCAGTTCTTTTGGGACGGTGCGAATACGCAATCAAACTTAAAAATCAAAGTACTTTATTGATCCCAAAGGGAAATTAACTGTTGTTGTTTCTCATATTAATTCAGATTCTTCAGAGTTGTTGTAGATGGAGATGGCTGTTGGCAGGAAAGCTCTCTTGAAGCAGTCTGTGTTGCAGCAATTATCAAGAAGCCTCTGACTGAAGACACTGTTTCTCCAAGGGTCTCTGATGGTCAGATTGTCCATAATTTTCTTAAATCTGACATTTTTGTTTACATTGCCTGAAGAAGGAAATTACGTTCATTTCTTCTTCAGAAGTTTTTCTGTCATTTCCTTCTGTTGTTCTTGTTGCAGCGCCACCACAGGCGAGGAGGAGAACAGGTTTTTAAATAGTTTGGATCATTTGACTCGGTGCAGTGTGAAATCAAACCACAGCCGCAGAAAATGTCACAAATATTGGAAGTTTTTCACTCCATTTGATTTGATCATACTGTGCTTGTATCATTTTTCTTTTTCTCTTACATGAACTAGCGTTCGCAAAAGCATTCATACCCTCTCCAAATTAGATCCGCACTTTTCAGATTTCTCCTTACACTATGCAATTACCTGTTACTTTTTGTTGGTCAGTCTGAGCTTCTGAATGTCATTTTCTAGCTGTCGCCTCTAAATATTTTATCGGTTTGAAGTAAAAAGTGGACATGTTTAGGGACTAATTGGGCAGAAATAATCAGCAGCCTTCAGCCTTCATGAAAAAGTAGCAGAATAATGATTGGCGACCGGGAGATCAGCCCGCTCCTGACTGCTGCTGTGGAAACGGCCACTCTAAATGACATTAGCGATTAACCCGTCTCTCTGTGGCAGATGTGAAGCAGAACATGCTGGAAACCATTGTCCCAAAAGGAGAGTACGACGCTGTGATGGTGGTTCTGGGCGAGCACAGAGGACAGGTGAGCAGCGGGTTTCGTTTTCATCTGGTCTGGATGTGATTTATTGATTGATTGCTGCTAATTGTTGTCTGTTTGTCGGATCAGGTCGGCCGTATTCTTCAGCGGGATAAGAACAAATGCAGAGCGATGGTGCAGCTCGACAGATACGAGGAGAAATTATTCACTCTGGATTATGACTCCATTTGTCACTATGTGGGAGCCTCAGACCACTGATCTCAGGCGTTTTGTAATGTTCAGATGTAACCTTTAAATCATGTAATGTTTTTTTAATAAAAATATATTTAAAAAATTCACATCTGGGCTTGTTTGTTCAGGTGATATTATTCCTCTTCAGGAAACGTTTCACAGCAATGTTGAAATTTATTATTATGACCAGAGATGGTTGTAGTAGCAACAAAACAGTTAATATTTAATATAAAACATATTTACAACATGTTTGCATGGATCCACACATCTAAAAATAAAATGTTTAAGACATTAGTTTTTCTTTTGCATTCCCTCGCAGTAAACTAGCAAACTAGCATATTGACATGGACCTTAACAGAGCCTCTGAATATCTAAATATTCTTCACTTTTTAGTGCAGAAACTGGTTGAAAATTGATTTATCTGTGTTTTTCTTGTTTGTGTTATGCACATGAAAATGTCCCTTTATTAACCATTTAGACGACAAAACCAAATTATTTATTACACCGTGAAAATAAAAGTAGTCCAAATAGCTTGGATATATTTTCTTATGGAAAGTTTCTGGGTTTTTGTTTGACCTGTATCCTAGAGAAAACTATTTAAAATTTCAGATGTTTATATACGTGGAAATACATCATATTGCAGCAGAAAGACTCGGCATTCAAGATGCTGCATGAATTAACTGGTATGTTGTTGCGAGGGAACGAAAAACTTTTGTACAACGGAGTGTTGGGGCCATACTGAAAATCTGACAAAAATACGAGAATGAAGTCATTACGAGATGTCTTATGAGAATAACGTTGAAATAATAGTCATATTTTAAGAATAAAGTTATAGATAAATACAGTCACATTACGACAATGTGAACCGGTGAGAGTTTAATGTTTGGTTTGGATGTGATGCTAATCGTAGGGAATAATTGAGCCAAAATAATCAGTAATGAAGAAATATTAATAAAGAATAAACTTGTACAATAATAGTCTAAATATTGTGACTTATTCCTACAATTTTACTATATTTTTGCATTAGTTAAAGTTCTTCTGGTAATATTACTTTATTTTCATTAAATTATGACTTTATTCTCGTAATGTCCTTATTAACACAATATTACGACGTCTTGAAATATGACTATTCTAATATTATTTTGATTTTATTCTTGTAATGTTATTTTTTTGTATGGCGCTAATATTCCGTTGTACATTTGCGAGATAACGCACAAAAAAAAAAGTCCCTCAGGTGTTTCCATACTAACGCGGTCGCAACATTTGTGTGTTTGCGGCCGTCCATTCGGGATCTTTGTTCTTCTGTCTCCTCTCTGGACCTTTTTCCCATCTTGCCGGGATCCCGGTTCACTCCTTGGGCGGATGGTTCGCGGCGTTAGCCCGCAGCACCGCCCCGGGACTCGGGTACGGCCGCTGCTGGAACAGCGGCCCGGCTGCGGTCGTGTCTGCGCCCGTCTTTGCTTCGTTGCGTTTGGGGAGGCCGCTTGACCAGGAGCCCCTGTGGAGATTAAAACATTCATTTTAATTAGCAGCTTGATTTCATGAGCTAATCCCACAGCTGAGAGAGGGATTATTGACTCTCCACATCAAAGCCTCGCTAATTGCACTGGTTCTAATAAATCAGCTCATAAAGAAAGATGACTGGAGTTTCTGGAAACAGAATAATCTCCAGCTTTCAGCGAGTCAAATTTAAGAACTTTCACTGACACCAGGAATAAAACTTACAACAAAAAAATTATAAATATGGAGGATGATGTTAAGGAGCAAATTTAAACAAAAAAAACAACAACTAACTTTACAATAATCACAAATTTTCTGAAGAGAAAAAAAAATTATGAACTCCAAAGGTTGAAAATTTGAAAGAAAAAACATGGAAATTTTCAGATTAATCTTGCATATTTTGTTTGAATTAACCTCAGAAATTTATGAGAAAAAAACGTGGACATTTCTGAGCTCCAAAAGTTAAAGATCTTTTAGAAAAAATAAATAAATTCACAGGATCTGCGATTGTTTTTTCTGTTGTTTTTTTTTAATTTTTTTTTACATATTTTCTGGAAAAAAACTTGGATATTTCCTGAGTTCCAAAAGTCTAAAAATTCAGCCAAAAAACTCAGAAGGTTTGAGAGTAATCTGAGAAATGTTCGAGAAAAAACAAATTTTCTAAGCTACAAAAGTCGACATATTGCAAGAAAAAAAAACTAATTTTCTAGAAAAAAATCTAACCTCAACTAACCTCAGAAATATTCTAGAAAAAATAAAAATGTCTGAGCTTCAAAAGTTGCAAATGTGTAAGAGAAAAAAAACCTTAGAAATGTTTAGATTAATTTCTGATTTTCTAGAAAAAATATAATTTTTTTTATTAACCTCAGAAATATTCTAAAAAAAATACTAAAAAAAACAGGTTATTTTCTGAGCTCCAAAAGTGAAAAATTTCTGCCACATTTTCTAGAAAAATCTTCAAAATTTTGAGAATCAAATTCTAAAGTATAAACTTTTAAGGTATTTAATTTCCGTTTAGGATCAGTAAAGTATTTTTGAATTTGAAAAATTCAAAAATACTTTACTGACTACATTAAAGTATTTACATTATAACATTTGAAAGCGATCAGTCCAGTTTTGCCGGGGGGAGTTTGTTATTTTTCAGATTGTGTTAAATGAGAATCTGCATAATATCTCACATTTCTTTTTAAACTAAAAACCTTTCAGGTAAGTTATATCTTCGCTTCAGGCCGTAGTTAATCAAGCGAAACGTGAAAAAATCTGCAACAAAAACATTCTAGAAAATGTGTGAAACTCCATATTTATGGATGCCATCAACAAAACTACATCTGTCCAACCAAGCACCACAATACTGAAAACTAAAAATCCCCCTTTTCTTTCCCTGAGAGATCAACCGGAGGCGTTTTGGTTTGGAGCAGATCAGCTGTGTCAACCTGTGGGCCGATGGGATCGATGTTGTTACAGAGGTCGCCGAGCCCAGCATGTGAAACCAGAGCATCTGCAGTGCCTGACTCAGAAAACCGCCGCCCGGCTCCCACAGGGTTACCCGTCACGTGACTCTCCGTCTGCTCTGCAGTGCCAGCAGGAGTCGAGCGAAGCTTCAACCCAGCATGCATCATGTTACACTGCAGCTGCAACCCTCCGCAGTCAAAGTCAGTGTTGCACTAAAGACTTCCTATTTGGTTAACAGTAGTAATATTAAGAATTATGAAAAATGTAGGCTAGTAAACGTCAAACCTAACTGAATTCAATCAAAAGTAAAAGATCAACTCACTTTTTACAAATAAGGCTGGATGATATAAGCATTTCATATCAGTGGATATCAATAATTATTGATTAGTTTTTACGTTTTAAGTATCTGGAATATTTCCAAACTGATGACTTGACCTTTGCTCTTTTATCCACCGTTTTCACTCCGAGTCATTTATTATATTTAAGCAGTTAGCAGGTGAAATGGCAGAACCTGAAACTGCTGCTGTGCCAGTGACTCAGCAGGTTGTTGCTAGGTAACCAAAGAATGTATGAGTTGCTAGGTAACCACGGAGCGAATGAGTCAAGTTGATTCACCAGCCTTTCTTCCTCTGCTTTCATTTCCCACAATGCTGTGCGGTTCTGAATCAGAGTTCAGTGAATACTCTATGTATTAAATATTCAATCAGCTGCATTATCTATTAATATTGATCACGTGTCTATCGCAAAATATATTGATTCAGATTTTTTTTGTCCATCCCTATTCATATGCACACTGAGGTATCGTTTTTGAATTAGAGTTGATGTTTTCAGTGGTGATGTTTTTCATGCAACCACTAGAGTTTATGTACAATATTAGAAATACAATTAAAATGCCAATAAATACTTGAATTGTTTTAAATTATGCATCTTAAACGTGTGAAAAGCTCAGGCTGATCTGGTGATCATTTTTTAATTGCCTGATTAATAATTGGATAATAAAAGATGCTTCATAGAAGATTTTTTTTAACAGAATCTGAACCATATCAAATTAAAACTATGGTGAGAGACACCAAATTTATTAGTTTATTTATTTATTTTACTGTTTATGTGTATTATAGTTCCCAGATACCCCACCCAATTTGTTTATTCATCATAATAAGTTCATTATGATAAATGGTATGCTTACTCGAGGAGTTCTGGATAGAACGTATTTGCAGACAAAGAAGCTTTTTTTTTTTATCTTAGATGCTAAATGTTTGTATTTTTTGTGCAGATTTTGCTTAATTGCTGTTGAGCGTGTTATTTCACAAAATTGTTTCTTTTTTAGTTTGTTTACTACAGTTAATGGTTGAATTATTTGATGATTATGTAAATTTTTGATTTATCAGGATTAATAATTTCAGCCTGCATTAAAACATTTGCATAATGTGTCAATAACCAGGGAAATTCAAATGCATCCTGAGTATTTTAAATATATATTTTTTTAAAGTTGGACTCATTTATTTATTTAGAATATTTGAGCTCCTATATGTTGCTCACAATTCCTCCATCATAATCAAAGTTCAAGGCATTTAAGACATGTCTTCATGTTTCCTGCTCATACGGTACCTTGGAGCATCAGAATAAGCACTCGGGTCCATTGGGTCCATCTCATCATCTTTTCTTCCTGTAAAACAAACAAAGCTCTCAACATTTACTTCTGAAACACTGAGGTAAAAAAACGAGACATTTCAGAATTTTACCTCTTTTGCTTTTGCCGTACGGTGGCATGTCGTCTCTCCTCTGCTTCCGTCTGTCCCGTCCTTCGTCCCGGTCTCTGTCTCTCTCTCTGTCCCGTTCTCGGTCCCTGTCTCTATCCCTCTCCCGGTCTCGGTCCCGATCTCGGTCTCTGTCGCGATCCCGATCTCGTTCCTTCTCTGGCTTTTCAATCGGCCTCTCTGCTCTTTCATCTGTGACATCAGCTTAGGAAAAAAAAAACATAAAACACGAGGATGGTTACAAACATAATTCCTGAATAGTCAAAACCAAACTGTTCACATGTTATCTTCAGGCAGGGGTGTCCAAACTGTTTGAACTGAGGGCCAAAATCACAAAGCTGAAATTATTCAGGGGCCAAAATTATTATTTTTTGCCATAATTGTAAATTCTCTCTTTTTTTTAGATTCACCTTAATATTTACAGTTATTTAACTTTTTGAACTTTCCATTTTTTAAACCTATAAAATGTTTTTAGTTTATTCCCAGGAATAAGAAAGAATTTTCTTTTACAACCTTTACTGTATTTAGTCAAATGTAATGGACAGGGGTGCCAAAGTTCGTTTTTGAGTAAAAACATGTTGGATGTTTGTGGTATGACGACAACAATAATAATAATAATAACAACAACAACAACAATAATAATAATAATGATTTCAAAAAAAAGATTAACTCAAGAAAAATTATTTGCGTTGTATTTAACATGTTTTTGTTTAAGATACAAACATAGAAAATTTCATCCTAAAAAAACTACTGAAAGTGTTGAATGGACAAATTTGAGCCATCCTTGAATTGCAGTGAGGGGCCACACAAAATTAATCAAAGGGCCACAAATGGCCCCTGGACCGCACTTTGGACACCCATGACTTAAAAGACAGTTTCAGTCCAAAGTTTGCAAACATAAATCACATTTAGAGCTATACATTATTCATTAGTTTTTATTGTTGACTTTCTCTAATCTACAGGTGTTAAAATTATACATGTTCAGGTGCTTTTTGTAGCAAGTATGTAAACTTCTGTCTACAACTGTAAAGACAGCTAAAGAGTAATAATTGAGGCTGCTTTATTTTACCCTTCACTTTTTTGGCAGGTTTTGTTATAACTGCAGTGGGGTCATTTGGTGAAAGCCAGGCCACCATATCTGTCTCTACATTCCAGTAGTAAGGAAGACCGCTGTGGATTAAAAAGAAAAATTATTGATTTAAGTGATAATTAAATACTCGAACACAAATATGTAAGGTAGTTTGGTATTTCTATAAACTTCCAAAGAGTTGGATTTCATTTATGAGTACGTACCAAGACGGATCGAACACTTTGTACCAGTTTGGAGGAAGGTTCTCGAGTCTGGTGGATTCATAATCAACATTGTTGTCATCGTAATCTTCAGCGATAATCTCCTCATCTGCATCTGATGGAAATAATCACAATATATTTGTTAGAAGAGACAAATTAGAAGGCAACAGGGAAAATAAGTAATTATGGCTAAAAGTAAAACTAGGTAAACCGTGATCTGTTGGTTTAACGATCCCTCTCTTGGCCAAGCGGGCCAGAAGTGCCGGAGGAAGAGGCATTCTGAAAAACAGGAATTAGGATTATGTTTGAACTGAATGAGGGAAACATAATAAAATAAAAAAAATTTTACTAAGCTTTTTGTCTAAGCTGACATGAAAGGAAAAGACGATAACGCTAAAGAACTGCAGGATTCACAATAAACTACTAGTCATTCACTCCAAACATCTGGATTTGTAGAAAAGTTGAAAGTCTCATTTCCCGTTTGTCACCAATCATGTTGGCAAAATGCATTCAACAAGATGCTCTGGTCAAATGAGGCCAAAATGTAACATTTTGGGCTGCATGCAAAAACCAAATATATGACTGAAACATTGTGTTTCACTCTGAACTCACCATTCCTGCAGTAAAACTGAGGTTTTCCAAAACAGTCACAGAAAGCTGTGATTGGATATACTGGGCAATCATGGACGAAAGCTTTATATTTTTCTATTATAAAAACCACTTCTCAGTTCACATAAATAACATTCAAATTTGTGTTTCTTTATTATGACATAATACTCTTTTTGCAAGGCACTGTAAGACTAAAAAAAGAAATACATTGATTATGTCAGTGTTCAAATGCTGTGTCGTACAGCACTTGTCCATGCTGCTGGTTGTTTCACCAATCAAAAGAGATTAGATATTCAGCAAAGATTATTAGGAATGTTACTGGAAATATCCTCTAATATCCAAAAGCTTCCAATCTAAAGCCTAAAGTTTTGATTATGTAGATATGTTCAAACAAAAACACAATATTTGAGTACAGAGTATAAAAACTAATCTGCGATTACAAAGTGAACTGAAAAGCTAACGTGTAAGTAATGAGAATTATTTCCTTTTCAATAAATTACGTTTATTCAAAAGCTAAACGGACAGTATTTGCTCACATTTTCTGTTTCTAGGTGACTGTAAAGCAGAACAAATCCTTTTAAACTGCTTTAAAAGTGAAATAAACCACTAATGCAACATTTTAAACGTGCTACCTTTTGGATTATCGATTAAAAGACTCATAATTTTGATTTTTTGTGCAACACTAAGCAGATATCTAGCAAGAAGGAGAAAAGTGCTTTGGAGGGAGCAACGATGTAGCAACGGTTAAAAACACCAAAGCAACACGCACGCTATCTTTATCCCAGCACACACTGAAAAATAAACACTAATACCTTATAAGTAAGATAAATAATTAATAGTAATTTGATCCTCACCTGTATGAAAATTATTTGGTAATTACTCGTCGAGAGAACAGTCGATACCGCCGCCTGTTAGGAAAAAAAAAAAAGAAAGCCATCGGCGGCGCACGTCGATTACGTCACCGTGTCAGCTTGACGTCAACAAACATGGAGGAGTATGCCCGTGAGCCTTGGTAAGATTAGTTTGTATGTATTTGTTCTTAGCTGTTTGCTGAGCACATGAGGTGTGTGTTGCAGATTCGGTTTTAGCTTCATATTGATTTTCATGGAGACTTTGTTTTTGTAATACGGATGTTATTCATGTTTGCTTCGGTAATAAATAAACAGCTGCTGTCCAGCAGTAACTTCTCTACACACTCAGTAAAATGTAAAATTTTATCGGAATGTCATGTTTCACTCAAATTACAAGTGAAGTATTGGTTTTATACCAACACATCAGAAGTGTATCGATAAAATTTTATAAAGTCATTGAGATACATTACAATCATTTCTCATTGATTTGGTGCATTATTACTGCAAGTTCATCCGCCACAAATAGTAATTTGTGAACAACATAGATGCAGTTTGCATCGGTTGCTTCTGTATTATCTGCTTTTTTATATATAACATTATAATTTGCTTATGGCTGTCTGACATAATGAACCTATTATCACTGTATGCATTGGATGTTTCTTATGTTTATCTTGAATAAACATAAGAAATTTATTGTTTTTTTAAGAATTAAAAAAAATAAAAACATACTAACTGTCATGTAACTAGATTTCAAATGGCTGTGCAAATAGTATATTGCTGTCGTGAGCATTTTCAGGTAGATATGACTTTTTTTTGCAAATTTGCATATTTGCAAGTTGTACATTTTGCAATTGTTTTAAGAAATGCACTATCACAACTGAGAAATAAAACCCTTCAAAACTAAATACACGGTTGCTATTTAAAAGGGCAAAAACCATACAGCTATTGTGAATAAAATCCGATTTTTAACTGATTATTGTGACTGACTGTGACTGTAAACCAGAAGTTCCATATCTGTAAAATAGACAGATATGGTTGTATAGTTGAGTGTCCAAAAAAACGCTATAAACATTTTGTGTATTATTTCCAAGGTGGAATGACATCAGTGACCTTTAAAAACCAGCTGTTGCTGGCCAACAATCAGGGAAGGAATATGAGGAAATGTTCAAACCACTTAAAATTGTTTATTTGAAAAAAATATTTAAGTAGAAAATATATAAAGACAGTTGCCATTCTTTTCAGGAGAAGCTCAGACTATGCAAAATTCAGAGGAGCTATAAAAATTAAAATTAAAGGTCCATCTGGCACTTTACATGCCTCAGTTTTCAAAATAAATATCGAGATTTTAGTCTGGTCAGTTCTGCCTATTTTCGAGCTACTGTCGCTTTAAATCTAAACAGGCAGCTGCTGGCCACGCCCCCAACTCAACGGTTACACTCGCACACGAAAATGTCTGAAAACACATGCGCACTTTTAAGGACGCACATCTTTATAAAGCATTAATATGCCGCAGGTGTATTCTAAATGGTAAGTCAACAATACAAAACTTGTGTTTTCCAAAAGCTGTGGTACAGCGCATGCAGCGGTGAAACCAGGCATAGCACCCTGAAAGTGCTGGCGCTCCGCTTGGGTTGCTAGGTAACGGGGCTGGGCTATGCTAGGGTTGCTAAATGGCTCAATCGCGGAAGTTGTGTGTGCAGAAATAAATCTCTGGAAACCTAAATAAACTGAACAAAAGAAGGTGGGAGAATCCTTCCCCAACAGCAGGAGAGACATAAAGTAAACAGAAAACTAATCCCGAGAGTTATTGCTTCTAAATTGGGGCTCCACAAACAATTTAATTATTTTTTCCCATGGCTGGGTTGACAGTAATGAAACTGTCATTTTTTTGGCAAGCGAGGAAACTGATAGCCGTGATTAAAAACTATTTGATTTGAAATGCTATTAATGTCAACTGACACTGAGGATTTGTCTGTCTCTAAATGTTCTTCATTAATTTTTGTGTGGCAGTGTTGTGGATGGTTATTATACTGAGCAGGATTGTCAATTTAAAGAGTAAAGTAGCTCAAATGTAAATGAAAGAATGATTCTGGACTGAAACTTGATGGAACCTAACATAAAATTGTAAAGGCGCCATGAAAAACTATATTTATATTTTTAAGATAAGTAAGATTTTATTTTAAATAGTTCAAAGGAATGCAAGAATAGTACACTTTTAGAGTATTTTCACACCTGATAGTCTGGTGGACTCAGTTTGGTTGGGAACAAAAATTGCAACATTTGTTACATTTTCAGCTGGTGCAGTTCAAGTTCACACTGCACTGTGTCAAACAAACCAAACTCTGAAAAGCCATTTTCCCTCCGAACCTGTGGCGGCGCTGCGTCAATAACCACTGAAGGAAACAACACAAAAACCTCTGAAGAAGACACTGAGTGTAACTTTCTTTTTCATAAAATAACAAAAATGGACTAGCGGCAGATTTTAGAGGTCGTGGGATTTGTTTTTTGTCCTTGGTAGGAGACTACAAGCCAGCTAGTGTGATACCCACAGGTTTTGTTTGGTTGTATTTACCCAGAATGTCCTGTGCGACAGTTTGCTTCCTGGTTTTGGAGCAGTCTCCAGTCTGCTTGGTGTTCATATATGGATTCGAACTGCCCAGAGTTCATTTCAACCGAACCAAGACCTATATTTTTAGGCAGACCAGATTTTACTTTTTTGGTCCTCAGTAGAGTTTGATTATCCATTCGCAGCTCCCCCCAAAAAATAGATTTTTATACAAATGAGCTAATTTAATTAAAGCAAACTAAATGCAGTTGCCTTCCTGCACTATTTCGCTCAATTCAAATCTCGCTTACAGCACAGTCTGCACTTTCTCCCATCCACTTGGATTCCTATAATTCCTATAATGTCAATCAGGCCAATCACCAAACAGAAGAGAAAATTGGGAACGATGATGTCAATTTTCTGTGCCGTTTAGAATTGTACACTTCCTATAGTTTTAGCAACGAAGGAAATGAACAAAACCATTCAGTTCATGTTTGCCAATTGTTGTATTAACATTAACCACCATCTTTTTTGGATTGGCACTTCTCTTTTTGCAGGTTGGTTACAGTGCAGATAATTTCCAGTAAGCTTCATAGCGCCAAATTGGCAAACATTAGCGATTGAGTACGAAGCAATCTGGCTAAGGCTAGTGTGAATGAACACCTGACACTGTCCCAAACAAACCCTTGTTTGTCTTTGTCTTGTTACCATTATGACCAGTATCATTCATCTTGATTTTGTTTCTACTCCCCTCCTGCAGCCCCTGGAGGATAGTGGATGACTGTGGAGGGGCTTTCACCATGGGTGCAATCGGTGGAGGAGTATTCCAAGCAGTGAAGGGCTTTCGAAATGCTCCGGCTGTAAGTTTAAAAACAAAACAAAAAAACAACTAAATATCATGGTAGTTTTCTGTGTGACTCATAATTCTAAAGTGATCGTTGTAATATTTCAGGGTATTGGACACAGACTCAGAGGAAGCGTAAATGCTGTGAGAGTAAGAGCTCCTCAGATTGGAGGTAAGGAACGATTGTTTTGCTAATTTTCTGAACTTTTTAGAGGTTTTCAATTTTCTTGGATTCATCATTTCCAGAGAGGTAGTAACTTGCTACATTTGCTCAATCACATTTACCAGAGTAAAAAAAAAATTACTTTCACACTGTACTTTTTACTTTTTCTTGAGCAATTTTATTATATAGTATTTCTACTGTTACTTGAGAAAAATTTCTGGATTTTCTACCCAATAAGTGAAGAACAAACATGTTTGAACCCGAAATTCGCCAGACACACACCTACAGTTTTTATTATCCTTTGTTGACATTTCAAACAAAGAAAGGCCGTTTTCAAATTATTATTTTATCTAAATTAAGAGAAACGCGCTATTCAAAGTAACTTCGCCCTTTATGAAGATGTCATTGCCCCCATTGGGTGACAGTGGTAGGAGTTTGCTCTGCAGCGAATGGGTTGCAGGTTAAAATCTCTGGAATTTGAGTGAACAAAGACGACTTGTGGGGTTCCTCAAGTCCCCGCTCTCTGTCCTCTTTTATTTGATGTCTATATTCTCCACAAAACTCACATTATAGAGTATTATGACTTTACTTACGACGTACCAACACTGTCGGGTTGGAACTAGTTACATTTACTCAATTACATTTACTTGAGTAAATGTATGTTGAAGTGATGCTACTCTTACTTGAGTAAAATTTTTAGGTTCTCTGGCCGCTTCTTGTCATTTCAGACAGCATTTCATCGTTTGAATTATTGAGACTTTTGTGGCTCAACTTTGTCTATTTTTACTTTTAAATGTACCTTTTGCTTTCACTCAGGCTAGCTGAAGCTAACTGGTTTGTGTTTCCAGGTAGCTTTGCTGTCTGGGGAGGCCTTTTCTCCACAATCGACTGTGGTTTAGTTCGCCTGAGAGGAAAGGAGGATCCGTGGAATTCCATCACAAGTGGCGCCCTGACCGGCGCCATCCTGGCAGCACGCAGTGAGAGAAAACTACGCAGCCATTACCTCTCAATGGCCGCTATAATACGTACCACTGAGTGGGTGCTGTGTTTTTCTTTAGGCGGTCCGCTAACGATGATGGGATCTGCAATGATGGGGGGAATCCTGCTCGCGCTCATTGAGGGCTTTGGTATTCTCCTGACTAGATACACAGCACAGCAGTTTCAAAACCGTGAGTAGATTTAGGGAATTATTATCTTACGGTATTTTGTTTCAATGCTTTCTACTCACCAGAGTGTGATTTGGGCTGAAGTACTTTTAACCTTCTGTACAATCCTAAATCCTTGAGTTAAATCAGAAATACCAGAAATATTTGGTTTCTGATTCGGATGATTAATCAAATTTTTGGTTTTTGAAGACTATTTTTTCACTAATGCGCTCTTTGGGTTTTATAGTTGGGAGTGACGTCAGCTCACCAAACGGTGCCATCTTGCTTTGTTTGACAAGCGTTTTTTACAGCTTGTATTTGTTTGGATTTTGAATTCAGGTCAATAAATTAAAAGGCTCAGGCTAAGATAAAAAAAAAATTAAACAGAAATAATGTCAGTGTTACAAGAATAAAGTTTTATGATATTGAAGTCAAAATAATGACTTTTCAAGAATAAAGTCGTAACGTTTGGAGAATGAAGTAGTAGTTTTATGAGAGACAACACAACAAATAGCAAAAATACATGTTGTCCAAATGTTTTTTATGTTACATTTTTTTACATAGCACAATTCTGGCAATTGAATCTGCCATGTTTGGTTGTTTCTTCTTCTTCTGTTCTCCAGCTTTGCCGTTTACGGAAGACCCCAGTCAGCTCCCTCCAAAGGACGGAGAGCAGCAGGAGCAGAAAACTAAGGGATTGTTCCACTAGATACCTTCTGCGGACACAGTGAGTCCTACCACAGGGTAATGGAGCCACATCACTGCTAAGAGGACTTTGAAAAGTAGATGCACTTTGTTGAAATACCTCAGGGTGAAATGTTGTGATTTAGTATTTAAGAATGAATTTTGACATGTAAGAATCCTTCAGATGAACATTATGTTGTCTTCTTGAGAACGTTTTGTTTGTTTTGTGTCATTCCTGTAGTCTCTTCTCCTTATGGATTTATTTATGTGACATATATTTATGCTAGAAATATTACATCTTTTTTGAATTACTGAGCGTTCTCCAACTGATTTCATTACGATCCAGTTTTTAGTACATTTATAGAGCTGACCTATTACTAAGAAATATTTTACAGATTATCTGGAAAAATAAAGTAGTAGCCTTTTTTTTATTCAAGCAAATACTGTGAAAGATTTACATTTACAACTTTCTGGCATTTCACTAAGAAGCTTGTTCAATAATATTCAAACAAACTTCACAGGAAATTGGTTTGGAAAATGCCAAAACATTCTGCTGAGCGTTTTATTTCTGCAGCTCATGTTTCCAAAGGTCTGTGCTAAATCTGGAGCGAGCAATCAGTGAGCTCCTCACACGAACTGCTCACGCTTTAAACCGGATCCGTTAACATTTACATTAATGAGCTGATGTTAATGGAGAAAAGTATTCATACCTTTTTTCTACATTTTGTCATGTTACAAACTTTAATGCTATTCTTTTTTAAAAGTAGGCTGAAACAATCTTGCATCACATCAAACCAACACTTCTTTACTTCAGCATTAAGGCCACAATAAGAAAATATAAAAACTAAAATTACGAGAATAAAGTAATATTATGAGGACGATGTTGGTATTACGCAAATAAAGTCTCATAGTATTATTTTATTATTTTACTTTATCTTCATAATATTTTGAAATTATTCTCAGAATGTTAATCTATTCTTGCAATATTGTGACTTTATTGTCATAGTAGTATAACTTTATTCTCATAATTAAATTTTTCCATTTTAAATTTTTCCTCACTAAGGCCCAGATATTTTCTCGTACCTCTTAGATAATTTTTTTACTTACAAAGAAAAAGATAAAGGCATTTTTCCTTTTCCTTCTACTTCACATATATTCACTGGTATATGTTTGACTATCACTTAAAATCCTCATAAATTAGGTTTGTAACAAAACAAAAAAGGAAAAGGTCAAAAGGGTATAGATACTTTAACGTTACGCTGCATGTGAGGGATTTAAAACAAATCAAGTAATCAAATTTATGAACTGATTTAAGCACCAAATTTAGTGTTTTGTGACTTCACAGGTTTTTGTTTTGTTTTCTGTATATAAATGTCAGCTGTCAATGCTAATGAACGCCTGTGTTTAATTATGCCAGCATCATTTCACTCTGCGCAGTGAAACATCTTATTGCAATATGGAAAAATCAATATTGGTGTTTCTTAAAGCAGGTTAGTTAAACGGCCGTTTTATCCGTCAACCAACCCAGTGATTTTATCTAACAAGGGCCAAAACAATGAAATGTTTCACATGTAAACTCTGTATAGAAAGATTGTTTATTTTATCAGAATATATTTATTGTGTAAAAATTCAATAAAGACTTGAGATGTTATAGTATTTATTTGTTATTTACTTTTTGGAGTGCATCATAAAAGTGATCAAGTTCTGAAGTTACTTAAAAATAACACTTCTTATCTACACTGTTATTATTTCTTAAACTGATTTGCAACCAAAATGTGAAAACTTGAGTTTAGTACATCTGCACAACTTATTATTTTTAGAGAATGTTTTGTTCTTTAACCAGGGAAGACTTTTCTTTCCTTTACTCAAGCTTTAATTGTTTTCTTTGAATCCTTTGTGACAGGAATCCATGGAGCTCAGCTGTGTTGAAATCACAGACATGTTTGATCGCTTTGGGCAATCTAACAAAAACAACACATAAAAAACACTTAGGATTTATTCTGGAGATATGAAACTATCTGCGGGGAAACATTGGCCTCAGGCAATGCCCAAAGCACCTGGAGAGAAAACAATCCTCACTCAGGAGCCAAAACTGGCAGGAAATTGTTCAAAGGAAAGTGTTGAAGTGGAACAAGTATGTACAAAGTGAAAACAAACAAACAGGATTAATGTAAGGGAAACTATAATGAATAAATCTCAAACATAACTCCTGGTGGAGACAAACAAACGGGTTCTTTGCAATTTCTGTGGCTGATATGGTTGTGAATTTTAGCTAGAACTAAGTAGTAAGTACTGGAGTAACGGTTTAGAAAAATGTACTGATGTACTCTTTACTTTTGAAGTATCGCTACTTTTACATGAGTAAACAAAGAACAAACATGTTTTAACCAATCTCAGACACATACCAGAAGTTTTTGTTAAAGTTTCATATGTTTTACACTGAAAGAAACTGATTTTGGAAAAATATTTTGCCTTCATTTGTTATTTGTAATTATTTATAAAAATTATTGTAATTTCTGTCCCTAAAATACAAAAAAAAATTAGACTTAATTTTTATATATTTGTCTGATTATGTAATTTTTTAATTTTTTGTACTCAGCACTTGAGTCGCCTTATAAAATACTTTTTTTTACTCGAGTAATTTTTTGAACAGTTACTTTTTACTTTAACTTGAATAAGATATGTTGAAATATAATTTCCTGGGTACTTCATTTCTGATTTCAATTAAATCCTTAATTTTTCTGCATTCCTAATATTACATCTGCATTTATAATTGATCATTATAATTTAGAGCTAAACTTAAATGCAAATGTGTTTCATGATGTAAATTTTTGCCATTGTCTGTGAAGGTGCGCCCCCTGGTGTCTGTTCCGGTGTACTGCACAGAGGTGCTTCTGAAAACACTTTTCTTCTTTTTCCATCCAACTTCTCCATCTCCACAGTTTTGTTTCCATTCAAAAATGTGATTTTGCTGCTGGATGTCGCTCGTCCTCCTCCTTCTGCGCCCTGACAGATTTCCTCTGTCATCCTTTTAACCGGCTCAGCCTCTAATCCCGACCGGCTCACCGCCGCCTCTCCTTCTGCAGCGCTCACCGATACGCGCCGGAGTAAAACTGGTTTATACCTCATTTGGTTTGCGCGACAAGTTGCTGAAGGGTGGAGTTCATTTTAGCTTTTTTTCGGCCGGAACTTTGCACTTTATAAAAATGTGCCAGCCAGGATTTTTTAATACCTCTTGAAGGTTTTTTTCTTCTTAAGAAAAAGAAAAACAAACAAACAAAAACAAGATATATCTGTGATCCTTTACGCATCACAGATATATAAAAGAGTTGATGGTGCGTTATTTTAGGTGACTGACTGCTGTGAAGCTGCGGAAATGGAAGGAGCAAAAAAAGGTAATACTTGCTGACTTTATCCTCATGCAAGAGGCTAAAAACATACATTTATGTTTTGTATTTCTGGTCATAGATGAGAACTTACCCTAACCCTAACTTTACCATAACCCATCACTACTGAAAAAGCTTTTTGTACGTTTTACTATCACTACTATTATTATTTTCTTAAAAAGGCACAGACTTTCCAGTGTAAAAAAAAGAAAACTCACAGTGTTTATTTTAACACTAAGTGTAAAAACAAAGTCTCTAATATACCGGCAGCTGTATTTTATAATAAATTATAATTTCATAGGTAAAAATCAGTCCAACTGTAAGTTTACCGTAAATTAGAGCCTTTTTTTTTTTACAGTGCAGGTGAATTTATCTCAATGCAACACCTTTACTAACAGGTGTTCCTGGGTCTACTTGGGGACAGTGCTGCGCTAAGTGCCATTCTGCTCCCTATAAAGAAGTAGGTCACAGCTGGTCTTATCATATGAGACCCGCAGGACTCAGTATCTCTTTCCTGCAAGCACATCTTTTCTTAATTGTGTTAGATAAGAATGGTCTGATGTCCAGGATGCCATCTAACATCCTACTTTTATGCTTTTTTTAGTCGAATCTATGATATCTAAAGTTAAAAGTGTTAAACTTTACACAAACTTTTTGCTGAAAGCATTCAGTGGACAAGTTTGTTTCCCCCAAATTAAAAACGCAAAAGTTTTGTCGTAAATTCTTTTCTTTTACCTGTACAATAATAAATTTTACATTTGCCTGAATGTTTAAAATTTTCTAACTTTTTGGACTTAGGACTTTCCATTCTATTAAGTCTATAAAATGGTTTTAGTTTATTTCCGGCAATGAAAGCAAGGCTTTTCTCTTACAGCTTTTCCTGGTTTTGGCCAAATGTAATGACTGGCTGTGCCAAAGTCAGTTTTTAAAAACATGCTGGACGTTTGATGATGTAATTTTTAAATATTAAATGATTAATGTTTGATCAGTTTCTCAGAACTATTTACAAAATACTTTTTTTTACTCAAGTAATTTCTTGGATGGCTACTTTTACTTGAGTAAAAATATGTTGAAGAACTTTTACTTAAATACAGTTTCTGGGTATTCTGCCCACCTCTAGGCCTCTTACATGATTACGAAGCAACAAAGAAGAAAATAAAATACGACATTGCCATGGCAAAGTAAGGAAAAACGAGGACAAGCTGGAAAACAAACAACATCTTGACTTGGTTGTTTTCACTGAATCTGTTTTACAGGACTTCTCCATTTTAATGTGCTGTGACGTTTTTTACTCCCAGATTGTTTAAATTGTGTCCAGATGTTTTTGATTTAGTCTCATCAGGCAATAACAAAATTTCCCTCATGAAAATGTTTTTATCTGATTTCATTCTGATCTTTTACTTGTTTTACTTTTGTATGTACAGATGCCCCGCCTGTGGGCGATGTGGGCAAATCAGACACCCTGGGGTCAACTGGCTCGGCCAGAAAAAGGGGCGGTGGGGCCAAGAAGGCCATGCAGGCCAACAAGTCTGCCCTGAGGGCCCCCAGAGCGCTCTGCTGCCTCACGTTGAGCAACCCAATCCGCATGGCAGCCCTGGCCTTGGTGGAGTGGAAATATCCTTTATTTCCTCCTGTGCATGTCTTTATTTGTGTCACATTTGGATGAATAATTCTTACCAATGTGTTTTTGGTGCAGAAGTATTTATGGCTTTTGGAAGTTTTGTAATTTATAGATTCTTTTTCAGTCTTTAACAAAGATTTGACCTTAACCCCTTTCTCCAAGCCTTTTGATATCTTCATCCTCTTAGCTATTTTTGCCAACTGTGTGGCCATGGGGGTCACAAAGCCATATCCAGATGATGATTCCAACCCCACCAACCACCAGCTGGTAAGTAAGACTGCAACTGACAATTATTTTAAAAGTCGCTTATGCTGTCAATTATTCTGACAATCCGATAAAAGTTGGCAAACTACAGATTTTTCAGTGAACCTCTTAAGCTTTTTAAAAATATATATATTAGAGATACATTAAATGATGCAAATAAACAGATAATTCAACCATTTTTAAACACAAAATAAATATTTCACTGCCTAAAATTTAATAATAGAGCATTCCTTTAGTGAACTGGATCAAGCTAAAACGTTGCCACTTAGAGAGTTTTGGGTAAAACATATTTACAGACAAAGGTGTTTTTATGTCAAATTTTATTATACAAACATAGTTTTACAGTTTTGGCTTAATTACTATTGTGAATAAGTTGGGGGGGTGGGGTTCAGCAAATAACCTTTTTTGAATCTGAATACTCCAGTTAATGATTAATCAATTGTTTTAGTTGACAATTATTTCAATAATACATGAATCGCTTCAGTGCTACTTATGAGTATCTTTTAATAATTTTTTGAGTTAAAACATTTTTTGCTACAGTTTCTTACAAAAGTATGGCATATTTTAAACACATTGATATTTGTTGGAATTTTATTTCATCAACCTTCTAACATAAATGTAATTTACTTTGGCAGAAGATAATTTCGGCAAAACATAAAGAAGTTTAAAGAGTATGAAAACTTTTACTGGCAACCAGATACTTTGGGAAAAAAAATTGCTCAAACGTAATGAAAGAGCATGTTTTGTTGGCTTCTATAGACAGAAAACATGAGAAATGATGAGAAATCATGACATTTTCACAAAACATGATGAGCCAATTTTCATTCTTACAGTAACTGACAATCTGATTGGTCTGTGATTGTAGCTAGCAGCTAGCAGGTGTAAAATTAAACATAGCTAAAACGCAGAACATTAATATTGATAACAAAGCATTGCAAAATAAAAGACTGAATATGATTAAATTTGTCTAAAATATGTCAAATGTTAATATATGTGAAGAGAACATGGAGCCGATCCTAATATGTACCATCGTTACCGAACGGCAAGAGTTCAGCAGGAGCAGCGAACTTCAACTTCTTCACTAAACAAAATAAATTCAAAGAATACATAAGCAAATTTTGACAGACTTCACATAAATAATAATGTTAAAACAAACAACAACTTCATAGAATTCAACGCAAAATACCCATAAAAATACGGAGAATAACCTAAAGGCGATTTTAAACATACAGCAAGATGGACTTTGTAATAGAAATGTTAAAAATCTGATTTTTAAGTTTGTGGAAAGCATAAAATGCAGCATTTTTCTGAAGAACAATGCAGTTTAACCAGGAAGTGTGTATTCACGTGGAGGTAATGGTGTTAGAG